TCCTGCTGTTCTCCAGACAGATTTCAGCTACATTAGGGTTAGGGACAGACATTCAAAAAGCTTGAGCCTGAATAGATACAGTCTTTGCAAGTTAGTCTGATCTGGCTAGGCTGAATTGTTTTGAAACTGGACAGACATTCTGGCACAGAAATTCAGGCACATGCCTTCAGTGGCTCAGGCTAGAAGCCGGGGAACGCTACAGCAGCCCCCCCTTCCCTTCCAGTGCTGAGCTGAGGGGAGCATGGCCAGGCCAGGACTCTTTCATTAGGGAGATCTGCCTGCACCATCCCAGGCTTTTCCCCGCTTGCTGCTCAAGGGGCAGGTACGTTGCTAGCCCCTAGTCCCGGGCTAGCACTGGGAGGCAAGTGGTGGGGGAGGGTGCAGTGCATGCATCTGTTGATGATATGGAGCTTTTCAATCTCCCTCCCTGCTTCATCCTACTGTCTGCAGCAAACTGACAGGTTAGGAAGCCAGGGGGCTGATAACAGGCTTTATCACCCCATTAGCAAAACAATAGCCTCTCTCCATATTACTTCAAACTTCTTAAACAGCTTACTGGCTGACCGGTTGATTAGCTCCAAAAGATCTAAGTAGTCACTGTTTTGTCTGCCTGTCCCAGTGAAATTGGAGAGACACACACACACACACAGACACCTCTTGACATTAGCTAGCATACTACATGCTGGCTATGGTCCCTACTGTGGCAGAGAGGAGGAAGGGACCTCTGCTTAAGCAGCGAGTGGGGAGAAGGGAGCATGGGGAAGCTGGCAGACCCTGTTGTGCCTGCAAGTCTGTGCTGAGCTCCAGCCAGGGAGCAGAGGGGGAGGGGCCAGCCATGCTGTGGAGCAGAAAGCCCCACCCAGCCCAGAGAGCATGCTGGGATGCTGGGGGACTCTGATTTAACTTAAACCAGCAAGGGGTCTTGGACAGACATTGCATAAACCAGTTTGAGCCAAATCAGTTAAGTCTGATACTATATTCAACCAGGTTGATCTCAGACTGGTTTCAGCCATTTTCAGATTGGTTTATGTGCACTGAACTTGTTCTGTTACAGGTTTAAACCAGTTTCTGATCGCTGAAACCCATTTATGTGTAATGTCTGTTCCTAGCCTGGGAGACTGAGATCTCTGCAGCTGAGATTTGTAGTGGAGCGACTGATTGGCATCTTCCCAATCATGGTTACATCTGTTGTGAATGAGCTCCCATAGACACAGCAAAGGAACAGTAACAGTATTAGTCAAGTGTATAAATATTGCTAAGAGTGGCAAAATTGGGCCTTTCAGTAGAAGAGTGAGAGGGATGTGTCTACTTTCCTGCGTGTAGTGCTAGGAGCTTGCAACTTCTCGCTTAACTCCCCGATCTGATACTGGCTGCTCCTGTGGCCTTCAGTAAATCTCCTGCTTTGCTGCTTCTGACACGGAGATTAACATTTATTTTTTCTACCCTTTGGAGTAGGAAATCAATAGGTGTAAAGCACTGCATCACATGCTGCATGTCAACAGCTTGCAAACATCCCAGTCGAGAGAGAAACTACTGCATGGAAGGAAAGATTGAATTCTCACTCATGATGGTTTCAAGGTCTCTGCTGAATAGATGTTGGCTCCCCATATGCAATGAATTTCTCTTGCGGATAATATGGGTGTCATTCTGTATATGAAACAGCTGCTAAAGACACTTCTTCAGAGCTTAAAATCAGCAAGTGCTCTGCACTGACCGGGTTTTAGCTTTGGGCTCCTGTACTGAACACACTGACACCGTTGTCACCTGTTGTTACCGGAAGACCTCTGGACATAACGCTCTGGGCTTTCTTGGTCCCTCTGAGCATCCTCTCCTTAATTTTCTCCCTTTGCAGTCAGCTTAACCTGCCTCAGGATGACGTCTTGCGAAGGTGGTCCTATTCCTTCTCCTGCCTCCTCCCTTATATGCATTTGTGCTTATTAGTCAAATATGATGCCAAGTTCAAGTTCAGCTGTCTTTGTTTTCATCCTGTGTGTTTGTTGTTTGCTTGCAGGGCCCCACGGGACCACCAGGAGACAAAGGGCCATTGGTACAGTATGCCTTTCTGCCTACACCCATCTTCTATGGACGGCATTGCTTTGTGGCCCTGGGTGGCATTTTCCATTGTTAAAGTTGTAAAGGCACATTTAGTTTTTCTTTGGGTCTAATAATGATGGCCAGCCCTTTCAGGAAGCTGGGCCCAAGCCACGTGTAAATTCTCTGCTGCTGCTGAGCAAGTGGTTAGAGATACCATTGAATGACTCAGTTGAGAGAGAAGAGCTACCATGATCAAATGCGCTGAGCTCCTGAACTGTGGGGGTTGAGGAGAGATGCCAAGAGAGACCTGTCAGGGCCCCAGCAGGCAGCTCTGGCTGGGAGGGCAGGGTTTTTTTCTGTGTTGGGAAGAAAATGAACTGAGCCCCCGTGGACAGGCAAGAATCTGGATCAGGCCACGTCTTTTCAGGCTGGTGAAAAACATCCTACAGGTGGAAGGAGAAAGCTGGATGATTTAAGATGCAATCCAACATAGCACTTGAGCTCAAGCTTAATAGTCAGTGGAGCTGCTCACATTCTTAAACATAAGCATGTGTTTAAGTGCTTTGCTGGCTTTGACAGCTGATGGAAAATGAAGATATGCAGTCTCCTTCCCGTTGTGTCTAGTCCATCACAGTATCTCCCTGATCACCAGTCTGCCACTTGATCAGAATGAAATAAACTGGCCTGAATACATACCAGCTTAAGCAGTCACTGCTGCAAATCCTGAGCACCTCCTCTGCCATTGGCAGAGTGAATCTGGATTTACACAGAGGCAAGTTGTCCTTAAGAGCAGTGGACTGGAAGTCAGGACTTTGGCAGTCTTTTCCCTGCTCTCCTGTGAGACCTGGGGTGCGTTAGTGCCCCTCTTGGTGCCTAGTGGCCTGTAATACCCATCCCATGCTGGAGATGCCAGGCTTTATAGATCAAGGGTGGCTAAAAGCATATAACCCTTCCAGCTGCAAGCCAAAATTTGGACACAGCCAAGAAATGCAGGGTGCAAAATAGAGATACCCAGAATCAGGGTTCTGTAAATAGCATCTCAGATCAGATAGTAACTTGTTGTTAAATGACTTTTCTCAGAAATGACATTAACAGCCTGATGGCTACATGGGGCTTGGGAGCTGAGGAATGGCCATCTCTTGCTTAAGACACAGAGGCAGCACACAGTTCAAAGTCGGAGCCGTGTTAGCTTAGCAGTTTCTGGGAGCTGATGGGCTGCAGATGTCTCCTTGGCAGCAAACAGGAACCTGAAGGTTGCTGGATATGTCATGCTTGATTGGGTTCCTTTATTCTCCTTTTCCTAGGGCTCCCGAGGCTCACCCGGCATCCCAGGCCCCCAAGGACCACCCGGGCAGGATGTAAGTAAAGAGGATGAGAGAGAAATGGCATGGACCCCAGCTGCCTGTCTCCTGAAAAGCAGCCTGGGGGAGTCATCATAGCAGAGCGATTAACTGGAGGAAAATATAGGGTGGTTATAAGGAAGCGTGTCTTGGTAGACTTATTTGACAAGTGAATCATCTCTCACAGGAAGGGTCAAAGCCTTTTTAAGCTATTTAAAACAACCTTGGAGACGGCTGTTGGCAATAGACCTTAAGGATCAGTACTGCACTGGGAAGGGGGATTGCCAAAATGACACAAGTCTTCCTGGATCGGTGGTATTTGTGTGAGAAGACAGGTGAAGCCACTAATGGCCACGTGGAGGAGTGACTTTTGACTTCTGTTCAGCCTTTTTTTTTTTTACTCCTGCTATTGCTGTAAACCCATTGGGTATTAAAAGGGTTTGAAAGCATAGGGGTTAAAAAAAATAAACCCAGGTAATGGGATAAGAATCTGTAGTCCCTGTTTTGACAGCACTGCACATAATCCAGTCTGGGTGATTTCTGGTTTTACTGCTTTGTTTTTCTTTTCAATTCACCGTTGCCTCTCTCAGCTGTGCCCCACTCCTTTCTCCCCCATTTCCTACCCTTTTTTATTTAAATTACTCTTTCTTTGAATACGTGCCTGCTATGGCTGCATTCTCACATGCAAGCATGTGCAGCTTGTGTTGCCACAAACTTCTTTGTAGCGCATTAAAACATGCCCCAATTTGCAGCGCAGCGGCAAAAGTTGCTCCCAGGATTCCCCAGTAGCAAAAAAACCCAAGGAAAAAATGCAGCATGATGCACGCTACAATAGCATGTGCTGGAACAAATGGAGGCTTGGTCCTCCAGGGAGATGCTGTGACTGCAAGGCAGTGTCTGTACTCCTCCATTTGGGCTGCGCCAGCATGCCGGGTGCCAGGAGGAGCTGGGTAAGGGCTGCTTGCCTGAAGCTGTCCCACAACAAAGCACACGTGCAGGGGTGTGCCCTGCAGCACAAAATAGTGGCACAAATTTGTGCCACTACTATCTGTGCCACTGCAGGCGCATGCCCCTGCACATCTGGACATGGCCTACATGTCTGTTCACAGCATGTGATGAAGTGAGCTGTTGCTTACAAAAGCCCCGATGAACAGTTGGTTTATAAGGTGCAGCTCTACCCTGTCTTCTATAATACTTGAAGTGATTCCTAGCTTTTATTTGAGCCATGAAAATATTTTGTGACTTTGGACATCAGAAAATGATGGACCTGATGGAACAAAATCTGGGCCAAATTCACACCCACGGAGGCCAATTCAACAGCTTAGAGAGATGTACTTTCCATCTTGAATAGATCTCAGTTCCTCCTGAGGGCTTTGGAGCAGAGCATCTGATTCTCTTCCCACCAACTCTTGCCATGTGCTGTCTGGCATGTTGAGAATAGCTTCTGTATATCCATCACCCAGCCACGGGGAGGCAAGTGATGTGCCATTCTTCTCCCTACTTCTGACGGGGACCAGAGATTATCTGAGGGCTGGTGGCGTTGTCCTTGTGCATGCTTTTTGTGCTCTTTGAACAACGACCACTCCTGTAAGCATTGCTATGCTCCTCCTTGAGCAAAGTACAGGTCTGCCCTTCACTACCCGGTATAACTCTGCTCCTGCTTTCAGAAGCAGCCCCAACCACATAAGCCAGCAAGTCCTGGCTAAATGAGAAACGGCAAAATAGGGCAAAAGCTAAAGCACCTTGGGGGAGGATCTCTCATCTTTTACCCTTATGATATTCCACTGTGTCGGGGGAAGCAAAATTAACAAATCATTTATCATTTTCCCAGCATTTCCTGACTTTCTCCAAAGAATAATTGCAAGGAATCGTAAGGCAAGTCTCTGCTTCACATCTCACCTCCTATGACTTCTCAGGGGGTGAAGTTGCAGTTTCTTGGGAGTTGCAGCTATTCCCATCTGGGATTCTTTATCATGGCTTCACATGCATAAACCTGAGTGAGAAAGAGGCAGCAGAAGGGCTCTTCTCTGCACACCCACATTTATCATGAAAGAAGAGCCATCAAAATTTCTTCCCACTTTCTCCATCCCAGCTGAGGCTGGAGGTCACTGGCTAGGAGACCGCAGATAGAGGCAGATGCTTTTCTATAAATCACACCTCTATGGAGACCTCTATGGAGACCTCTATGGAGAATAGAAAAGGGAAGATGATTTCCACATGGCAGTGCATTGTGCTTTAGAGGGGCAGCCAGGCAGGACTGGTGGTCGCGGGACCTTCTCTCGGCGTCATGGCTCAGAAGGGGATCTGCTCACTTTGTCGGTCCCTGGGCAGGTCCTCCCCTGTGGGCCCTGCCAGCTTTGCTGACTGACAGCGGAGTTAGGTAAGGCCCTTCTTGCCCTACCTTCCTCTGAAAGCTGGAGCATTCCCATTTAGATGCTGTACTTTCAACACCCAGGTTAGCAAATGTCCACCCCTGTATTGCACCCATTTTATAGATTCATAGATGTTAGGGCCGGAAGGGACCTCAATAGATCATCAAGTCCGACCCCCTGCATAGGCAGGAAAGA